AGCAGGAATATTAGACTGCTGTCACTTTAAGAGCTGCCCGGATCCTATATACTTTCACACACGTGTTTTCTTTCTCAGCTGTTTGCTTTCACTGAAGACCTAAATTACTTTGTTTACAAGGATACTTGCAAATACTGCCATTTTGACACATACAAGTGTGTGAATTTAACCGTTCATGGCCTATAAAGTTGCATCTGTTAACATTAGTTAATTAACTAAATTTGATGAATGTATAGTTAATATTTAATATTAATATTTTTATTCAAATTTGAATGTGTGGTTCAGTACGTTTTTCTTTTTTTCTTGTAGTAAAGTTCAGCACTGTTTTAGTTTTCATTCGGTATCGGTTGATTAATCGGTTATCAGCCAGTTTGGTCAAACTTAGCTATCAGTATCGGTAAAATCCACTATCGGTCGATCTCTAATACAAACCATACTTGAATAAAGCTTTTGATTCTGATTTGGAAATAAATAAAAAACAAACATAACAAATAAACCAACAAAATTATTATTATTTTTTTTTTACCATTAATATAGATTTGATTCTGATATAGCAATATCTAAAACAAATAAAAAATAAACGTCTCTATTAAAAACAAGTAAATAAATAGGAATATATCTTTCAGTATAATGAAAGTTCGTGAGAACTGGAGTTATCAAGCTTTAAAATGACCAGAAAAAAGTTGCTATGATGACTTGTGATTTTGTAATAGGTTTGTGTGAGGAACAGACCAAAATATGTATTGTTATTAGTTCAAATATGAACACACAGTCCCGCTCCTGTTGGCATGTTCATGAGAATAGTGACATTTCATCGGAGAATCAGACATTCCAGTTCACGAAACCATTCTGACTGATTCAGTTTTTGGATTCAACTCCATTGACTCAGTCAACGAAGACCTACATTTTAGTTTGTTTGCAACACAAATCAATAGTATGACTTCAGAAGAATTAAAACAAAACTCAAAGCTCATACTTATCATATTTTTATTGGTGCTTTTTTGTCTTTTTTGAAGCTTGAAAACTCCAGTCATCATTCATTATAAATTCATGGAAAAGAGCGACCAGCACATTATTTAAAATATCTCCTTTTGTGTTCCACAAAAGAAAGCAAGTCATATGAGTTTATAATGACATGCGGATGAGTTTGTCATTTTTGGGTGAACTTTTCCTTCAACACACTCGCTTATTAAAGAGATAGTTCACCCAAAAATGAAAATTTGATGTTTATCTGCTTACCCCCAGGGCATCCAAGATGTAGGTGACTGTTTCTTCAGTAGAACACAACCGAAGATTTTTAACTCAAACCGTTGCAGTCTGTCAGTCATATAATGGAAGTGAATGGGAATCACGGTTTTCAGAGTCAAAAAAACATACACAAACAAAACCAAATTAAACCCTGCGGCTCGTGACGATACATTGATGTGTAAAGACACGAAACGATCGCTCTGTGCAAGAAACTGAACAGTATTTATATCGTTTTTTTACCTCTGATTCACCGCAATGTCTGAACTGTCCTGAGCGCGTTCGCGTCATCGTCTTCAGCCGGCGCGTGACTCGTCGTCGTCTTCTTCTTCTTCTTCTTCTTCTTGCTTTACGGCAGATCGCAGACTTATAAGTGCATTACCGCCACCTATCTCTCAAATGGACTATTGACACTCTATCTACAATATCAATTCGGAGTGTCAGTTCGGACATTGCGGTGAATCAGAGGTAAAAAACGATATAAATACTGTTCAGTTTCTTGCACAGAGCGATCGTTTCGTGTCTTTACACATCAATGTATAGTAACGAGCCGCATAATTTGGTTTTGTTTGTGTATGTTTTTTTGACTCTCAAAGCTGTGATTCCCATTCACTTCCATTATATGACTGACAGACTGCAACGGTTTGAGTTAAAAATCTTCGTTTGTGTTCTACTGAAGAAACAAAGTCACCTACATCTTGGATGCCCTGGGGGTAAGCAGATAAACATCAAATTTTCATTTTTGGGTGAACTATCCCTTTAAGCTCACATTTTCTTGTTAACCTGTTATTTCCTGTTGCCGGCTGCTCATTTACAGTTGTGTTCATCTCTCCCCATCTTTCCTCCTGTTCCTCTCAGTCTGTAGCTGTAATCTGTCATAGTGTAGCAAGTGTGCTGGTTTTCTCTCCATAGGGTGTGTCGTAAAACCTTCACAGTGGGCCTTTTCTCCTCATGTCCCTCTTGTAAACGCAGCAGTCTCTCTCCTCACTTCCTGGCTGGGTTCCAGTAATTCCTGCTCTGTTTTGCATGCTGGGCTTTGAAGTTTAGGCTTTTCTCTGCACTAACTGATTTTTAAAGAGGCCCTGATGCCTTATATGCCTCCTATGTCTGCCTTGCCTGCCCTCTCTTTGTTTAATGTAGTTAAATTCCGAACAAACATGTTTGATTACATTTTCGTACAGTGGATTATTCGGTTAACTTCTGGTTGTTAAAGGTGAAGTGTGGAACTTGTAGCTATTAGTGGCACCAGATGGAATTAAAATAGTTTTAAATGATATTGTTTTTTTTTTCACCTTTGTTGAATGTTAAATATTTCAGTATATTATATTAAATACTTCTGCCAGTGAGTAGTTTATTCACACACACATTTTTTTTTTGAAAGAAATTATTTTTTTCAGCAAGGATGCATTAAAATGATCAAAACTACAGTAAAAAACATCTATAATGTTACTAAAAATGGCTATTTCACATAAATGCTGTTGCTTTGAATTTTCCATTCATCAAAGAATCCTGAAAAAACGTATCACCGTTTCCACAAAAGTATGAAGCAGCACAGCTGTTTTCAACATTGATGATAATAAAAAATGTTTGAGCAGCGTCATCTTAAAATGATTTCGGAAGGATCATGTGACACTGAAGACTGGAGTAATGTTGCTGAAAATTCAGCATTTCATCACAGCAATTAATTACATTAAAAAATGTAATACATAAAAGTTACTTTAAATTGTAAAAATATTTCACTATATTTTTATTTTACCATATTTGTGATCAAATAAATGCAACCTTGATGAGCATTAGTGACTTCTTTGAAAAACATTTTCTTACAGACATCAGACTTACTGACCCCAAACCTTTAAATGATACTTAATATATATATATATAATATTTTGTTTTTGTGTTTTATTATTTAAAAAAAATAAATCAAAAGACAATTGCTCGGCAACTATATAATATATACACACACACGCTATAAAATAAAAATGAAATATTTGTTTGACAGCTTTTAAAAACATGAAATTGCTGAGTAACTGTCATTGAAATAAAAAGAAGCAAGTATTTTAACATTTTCAGGGCTCTAGACTCATTCTTCCCACTGGTCGCTCTTTTGCGACTAACTTTCTCAGTTAGTCGCACGAGCACATCATTTGGTCGCAATTATTATTATTTTTTTGTTGGCTACAACATGGGATTAATCAATGCATGCTGATGAACTTTTATAATAGTTTATAGTTATATGGTATTGAGTGTTCAACATTCAACCCGTTCTTTTTCATCAGTGTTATTTGTGATTTTAACGAACCACAAATGTTGGTGCTAAAAATGTGACGATAAACCTAGGACTGCCAATTGATAAAGTAAACCGTAAATAAAACCATTAATTTATGGATGCTAATGTCTTGAGAAAGGGCGCAGAGCTCAGGGCACCTCTGTTTACCATCTTCTTCCCTAACCTTTCCGAAACTAACGTACTTTAACCATTCCCTTCTCCTCTGGGTGACCTACCGGCTCTTTCCCTCTCTGTTACTGACCTCACTAGTCTTTTAATTCGGCCTCCACGTTTTAACAGTGTTAATTTTGTTTTTGCAGAGAAAAGGCGTGACCCACCAAATGGTATGTGTCCTGGTACTTACATTCACTCATGAATTTACTCCTAATGTTATCAGAGCTAATCAGTTTGTGTTTGCTGTTGTTGTTTTTTGAAAATTCCCATTTTGACAGAATTATGCTGAAATGCACACATGCACATAATGTATCTTCCACAGAAATCAAAACACATTCTTGAATGAGTGTCGTCAGGCATGAGCGTGATTCACACAAACACACATCCGCATTGTACATGACCTAGATGAGAGTAGAGTTCAACCCCTGACTGGAAGCCTGAGGTCAATCTGTGCGCTGGGAGCCATATGTACGCCACATGGATCATTCCATGCCACTGCGCTGCTGTGACTCTCTCCCATTCAGTTACGTCAAAGAGACCATGTTTCCTCACTTACGTAGTTTGAAGGTTTTCTCATGGACGTTTATCAGGGTTATGGCACTGGTTTGATGTCCCTTAGAAGCTGTAGTTGCAAGTTACTCAATTATCTTGTTTGCTTCATGTCAGTAGCCTGCAGCAGGATATGTGTGACGCTACTTGCATGCCTATTATTATTATTATTATTTTTTTTTTTACTTTTTATTTTATTTTTATTTTTTAAAGAATGCTATAGGAAATATCAAACCAAATTAAGTGCTTTTTTATGTATTTATTTATTTCCAGAGTATTTCCTATTGAAGCATAATTTGGGGCAGGGCATATTTGAGGGCTCATCTATTATTATTTATATATGTATTATTATTATTTATATATGTATTATTATTATTATTATTTTATATATTACTCTTATTATTTTTGTTACATTTATATATAATTAAATTAAAAATGTTACAAACCACTGAACCAAAGAATGCTA